ATATATATATATATATATATATATATATATATATATATATATATATATATATATATATATATATATAATGTTTATTATGTTTATCATTGATAAAGTCATACGGCTAATTAGTTTTAAGAAAACTGATCATCCGATGAAGATTATAACACATAAATATCTTTAATTCTCTTTTAAAGACTAAAAAATATCTTTGTAAATGCAACAATGCTGCATTAAAGTATTACATGTGTTTAATATTGTCTAATATTAATGTGTGCTTTTGCTGTTTTTCAGGGCCAAACCAAAGGTGAGTACTCATGTTATTTCTGCATTACATTTAAACAGGCCTTAAATACGATTTATAATGTAAATCAAATGCACATTATTCATGATAAAGTAAATAATGCATAACAGAAGATTGGAAAGGGAAAGTTCACTCAAATTAATATTCAGTCATCTTTTACCCTTTAATTCTTTCAAACCTGTTTGTCTGTCTTCTGTTAAGCCCAAAAGAAGATATTATGAAGAATGTTGCAAACCTGTAACCACTGACTCCAATAGTATTTCATTTCCCTACTATGGAAGTTAATAGTTACAGGTTTTCAGCATACTTCAAAATATTTTCTTTTGTGCTCAACAGAAGAAAGAAACTATTAAGAGTTTATAAACTCTTGAAGGAGAGTTAATAGTGAGTAAATAATCATTTTGGGGTGAACTTTCTCTGAAGTTTACATGTTGAGTTAAATTTTGAATGCGGTGTTGATTGTTCTTTCTTGCATTATCGTTTCAGTGTTTCGCCTATGATTATTGCTTCTGGTCTATGGATGAGGCTGAGACGGGCAAGTTTGCAGGTGTGTTGATATTAAAAATACATCATTTTGCTTTGACTAACCCCTTTATTGAACACCATAACGAAACCTCTGTAATGTGTTTATACGGCACTGATCTGAATCATCAGGCCTTAATGATTATGGCAATAGAAGCTCTTATATGTCAATATGTCACTGCGTGTGTTTCCTTGTGAACTTTTAGCAGGAAAAGACAAACCTGTTAAACTGCTTTGTAAAATCTGTGGTTTATCAGCTTGAAGTTTGATCAGGGTTCAACAGGGTATAACTCTTTTAATATGTTAATTATCATAGCAAGTAGTTTTGATTTAATTCAATATTTTTATGTAGTAACTGCTGCTTTATTGCCAGTTTGAGGACAACATTTTTAGTCTGTGAGAGTAATTGTAATCACTATTATTCAAAACAATTTTCAGTTAAAAGTCAAAATTATTAGCCCTCCTGTAATATTTTTTAATTAATAATTATTTATTTAATTATTATTAAAAATATTATATTATTTTTATTTATTATTATTATTATTTTATTTTATTTTATTTTTAATAAATATTTCCCAAATGTTTATCAGAGCAAGGATTTTTTTTCACAGTATTTCCTATAATATTTTTTCTTCTGGATAAAGTCTTTATGTTTTTTATTTTTGCTAGACTAAAAGCAGGATTAAATATTTTTAATCTATTTTTTATTAATTAATTAATTGTTTATTAGATTATTATTTTTATTTATTTAGTTGTTTATTTTTAATTATTATTTATTTATTTATTTTTAATTTTATTTATTTATTTATTCATTTTTTGTAAATATTTACCTATTATGTTTATCAGAGCAAGGAATTTTTCACAGTATTTTCTATTATATTTTTTTCTTCTGGAGAAAATCTGATTTGTTTTATTTTGGCTTAAATAAAAGCAGTTTTAAATATTTTTAACCCATTTTAAGGCCAATATTATTAACCCCCTTAAGCTATATATATTTTTGATTTGCCTAATTACCCTAATTAAGCCTTTGAATTGCACTTTAATCTGAATACTAGTATCTTGAAAAATATCTAGTCAAATAAGTGCTGTCATCATGGCAAAGATAAAAGAAATCAGTTATTAGAAATGAATTATTAAATCTTTCCATTAAACAGAAATTGGGGGAAGAGTCGCTAATAATTCAGGAGGGCTAATAATTCTGACTCTAACTGTATATTTTCAGTTATTTTCCTCCCTGTAAATAGGGAACAGGAAATAAATACAAGAGAATAAAAATATGAAACAAAATGTGCTTCAAGCATCTTCACTGTAAGAAAAACACTTTAATAACAGCTACAAAAGTCCTTCAGTCAAGAGCAGTGAGTGATTTTCTCTTTTTGTTGTTTGATGTATGATAAACACATACAGTAATATTAATGAGAAACTGATGCAATTCCCGATTAGTGTTTTTCATAATCGTTAGAAGCTGAAATCGAAACCGAATTATCGATTAATTGCACAGCTCTATGTGTGAGTACTAACATGCTTGCGAAGACGATTAATTTTTTTGCTTTTGATAAGCTTGGATTGAATCCATCTTGCTGTATTTTTAGTTGATTAGGGATCCACGCCAGCTGTTGTCATTTTTAAGTGATGTATATGTATATCTATATTTGTAGGTCAGGATGTGGTGTTTCAGTGTCTCGGCGAGAGTCTTTTGGACAGCGCTTTCCAAGGATACAACGCCTGTATATTTGCATATGGACAAACAGGTGCAGTTATATATTTCCTTTAAAACTATCTATGCAAAACCATTTTCAGTCTTGTTGGAAGGTGGCTAACTTACAATTTTATGGCAGACGTCTCGCTTTTGCTGTTTGATATCTGCTTTCAACGCTTTGCATCAAACAGAATGATAAATGTGGCATAATAAAACAAATATATGAGCAACATCACATGAGTTGCAGTGTGATATGGCTGTATATTGGCACTGGCGGGAGGGGTGTGTTGGATCGAGGCTGCAGGCCGAGTGCCTTAGTGCCCCACCATAGACAAAATATAGCCATATCGCACTATTACGAGTGTGATATTGTGTTTTTTTTACAACAGCTCGACGGCATAATCGTGTATATAAAAAAGAACATCAACAACTGGAGAGTCTCAAATCCTTTTGTATGAGGAACTACTTTCTTCCGCCATCCATTCACATCTGCAGCTGACGTCAGAACAGCAGAAACCGTCGCCACTTCACCAACCTCACTTTGGTGCTAGTGCTTGAATGATTCCCTTTCATAAGTGTTGACAAAACAACTGATTTTGCTTATATTTTAAGACTATAAGGCTGAACAGCATGAAATGCCATCAGTCTACAGAGATTTCCCAATATTTCTTTGTTGCAATCTGGATTTCACAATAATTAACCACGAAAAAGCCAAAGCAAAGCAAACACTAGCAGATTACTATGGTATAAACATAGCCAGGGCTTAACAAACACTCCCACTAGCCACTTTGGCTGGTTGAAAATAATTTTCCCGGATAATAATTCCTAAAAGCAAAGTTCGACAACAAGGATGGTCCAATATGCATGCAAAGGCGATCTTGAGAAGCAACATGACTGACAAAAATAATTGCGATCGCGCAAGCAATAGAAAGCTGGTGAATACCGAATAAGAGGATGATCACTACGCTAACAGCTGAGGTGATGCGCGCGACTGCTTAACTCGTGCGCGCTCCCGTTTCCTTGCATGAAGCAACTGCGTCTAGAAACACAACTGATGTGATCGGTTCTCTTTCAATTAGCCTAGACAGCAAGGGATGACAATGCATCCACAGTCTTACTGCTTTCAAGAGCTCCAGATTTGTCCTTTTATAAGCAGCACCGGTTGCTGTCAGTCATATTTATATGTATAAAATATATTTTCCCGACAATAGACTTGTGGCTAGTGAAAATGCCAAGTGTCTAGTAACGTTGGAAAACTACTCGCCACAGTGGCTGGTGATTCAAAAAGTTAACGTCAAGCCCTGAATACAACACTACAAAATACAAAAGAGATATCAACTTCCTTTTATAATCATTTGTTTTGCTGTAGTTAGAAATGTATGCTGAGAAAACGCTGAGTTTTTCTCCCCTCAGGATTTATTATGAGGTCTCTGTCCCCATCTTGTGGTGGAACGTCAACCATCAGTTTCTTTACTCTGCTCAGTGTGGCTGCCGACATGCTGAATCTCCGAAATTATAAATATTTAAATAAAATAGTCACTATCCTTTATAAATAAACCTCATAGTTGCAATCTAAACAACTACATACTCGCCTAAGAAAGCCTCAAAAGTACATGATGTTGTCCAGCAGCTGCAATATTTGTCAAACTGTTGTGAGTCTATTGATCTGCTGTGTGGGCGGAGTAATACACAAGGGTGAAGAGGCTGTACACGTGCTGTTATTGCAGAATATAGCAAGGCTATCAGCCAATCAGATTCCAGACCCAAACAGAACTTATGTATAAAATGTTTGATAATTAGAAATATTTGAATTGATTAAAAATTGTACATATAAGGGCAAATAATTTGTTCTTCATCTGTGTTTATTACGGTTTTTACCAAGTCATATATTCCTGAAGCTGACTTTTCAGCATCATTACTCCAGTCTTCAGTGCGTGCGTGCGTATTAGGGGTGCAACAGATTGATTCGTGATTTGTATTGATCACAACCCACGCTTCACACGTGGCCTGAATTAACCCTAAATTTGTAATGATTGCTGAGAGATCGCCTCTCGCGTCAATTGCATGCATGAAAGCATTTAGGCTTTCCTCTAAAATATAATGATGACGGAAGAAGTTGTGGTGGGTTATTCGGGATGTGGTGGGTTTCATGAAAGGTGTTTTCTTTCACTACTTGTTTAGCCTGGATTAATGCGTTGTGCAAGCTGCACGATTAATCATTAAAAGATCAGGATCTCAACACCCACGCAACATAAATTATAAATGATGGTGATTTGCATACGTTTATTAATCCTTCGAATCACTGCATTCAAATATGTGTCTGAAAAAACACAATCCAGAGAGACATTCAGTCTTTAGCTAGTTATGAAGTTACAAACAGTCAAATAACAAAGAAGTACTTGGATAACAGTTTATAATTTAGGTAAAGTGACTGATGTTCATATCATATGCATTTAAAGGGCCATGACGCCCCCCTCTTTCGGTTAAAGTCTACTTCAGAATTTTTTCAAAAGATGCATGATTAATGGGCGTGGAGCTCCGCGAGCATCGGGCAGGAGTGGGCGTGGCCAGCAGGGGAGAAGGGGAGCGAATAACTGTTGTTGTCAGTTAGCTCACAAAATGAGACAAACCGTGAGGAGACGCATGAGTTTATAGTTTACAAAGTTAAATTGCAAAGAAATGAAAAGTGATTTAATGCCCTGCTACATGTGTTATTCGTAATTTCATATACACATAACCACAATTTATATCATTATAAAGATAAGTGTGTTCATGTAAACACTATAAATGAGGACTTCTCCCTCAATCCCCGTATCCAGCAGACTCAGTGCAGCAGGTCTCCTGACCTGTCTATTTTAACCATTAGCCCTGCTGGTAATCTGGAGGATTTAGGCAAACACAGCAGCACAGTGATGTGTCTGAATGTGAACGAACTCCTGATAAAAGACAGCGTCCGCCATTCTCTAATTCCCATGCTGCTCTCCCGACAAAAATGCTTGCAGCACACACACAGCTTTGCTGTATGATCGGCCCTGACAAGATCGCGGGGGAAAACAGGCAACAAACCCCGTGGATGATGAAAACAAACACATATGAGCCTTCATGAACGGCTAAATACTGTGCCGTGGTTTCCGTGTCTCTCAGCTTGGGCTTGACACTGGCAGGTCTGGCAGGTCTCATGAATAATTAAGCAGCCGGCTCTTCTCATAGGATAAGAAAACTCCGCTATGAATAATAATGAGAAACCGACGCGTCATCATTGCACTTGCAGTTCTGCACTACGTCGCCGATTTTGATCCCGCCCCCAAAATCATTTTAAACCCGGAAGCTGAAATTAGCTGACAAAAGCTCAAAATTATCCAGTTTTCCCTACAATTAAAGCTGACAGGTGCTAACATTGTCTTAACTGATGCTCAACACACACAAATCTGTTAATATAAAAGAAAAAAAGTTCTCCGGGGTATCCTGAACCTTAAACGATGCTTGAAAATGAAAGTTGTAGGCAGCAGTTACATTATTTAACCAGTAGGTGGCGACAACCAGCCATCAAACATATGCCACTGAATGCTTCTTCATAAATTATGAATTTTTATGGGTTAGGAACTGAATCATTTATTGAAAATGAGACTAAATATGGGTTGTATAAATCATAATGTTAGATTTCTACATTTAGCGTCATCAGCAACAGTAATAGTAGTACCAGTGCATTTTTCACAGTACTGAATATTTTACTATTTTATTCAGCTGGTTATTACTTCATTTTATTTAGAATGAAATTACAGGTTCACAGTTCTGTTTGTTAAAAACTTGCTGTCTTGCAGGACTGTTTTTGTAATAAATGGAAAGCAAATCACATTTGTCTGCTCCCCTTTTTGGTTGATCCAGAAAAAATGGTTCGATCTGTGACTAAAAAATACCCTAATGTGATCCAAACCGTGAGATTTGTGATCCGTTACACTACTAGTGTGTATGTGTGTGTGTATATATGTATCTGTGTGTGTATGTAAATGTGTTATTTTGAAATGCGAGTCCTTTAAAAATGGTACAGTATTTATCATTGATCTCATTTTATGCATTATATTGTTGTTTTTGATTGTTAAAAGCCTGTTTTTAGTAGAAAAGTGATTATTTATAAAATCTTTGCAAATTGTATCTGGTTTTGTTTTTTGTCGTAATATAGCCAGAGAAGCTAGTATAGCATTAAATTCAAACTCTTTCTCTCTCTGTGTGCTGATTTGGCTGCAGGCTCGGGGAAGTCGTACACTATGATGGGCTCGTCGGAGCAGCCGGGTCTGATCCCGCGTCTGTGCAGTTCCCTGTTTGAGCGCAGCGTCCTGGAGCAGCGGGAAGGAGAGAGCTTCACTGTGGAGGTTTCCTACATGGAGATCTATAACGAGAAGGTGCGAGACCTGCTAGACCCCAAAGGGTGAGGATGAACACCTTCTGCACTAACCAAAATAAGGAATAATACACTGAATTCTGTTTACATTGGTGTTATTTAACATTTAAGGTCTCGTTCTGTTTCCATTCTTGCTAACTGGTTAAAAAACTGCCAAGAAAAGAGCTTCTGTTACTTGTAAAGAATAAAATAAAAATGAAGCTATATTTTTATAACATTTTATTATAATTTATAATGTATTATATTCATACATTTTAAATTTTCATTCAGTTTAATTTGATATAACTAAAATGACTAATAAACTTGATGCGAGTATACTGAAATAAAGCAATAACATTTTCACAGTATTTCTTTTTATTCTGGGGAAAGTTACTTTCATTTAGTTTCAAGCAGTGAAATTTTATTATTATTATTATTATTTTTTTAAATACAGTTAAGGTCAATGTTATTAGTATTTTGTATTTTATAAGGTGTTTTGTAATTTATTATGTTTGTAAGTATGCATTATAATAATATAATATACTTTTATGTTTATTTGTCAAGCGAATTTTGTATCATGTTAATTTTAATTTGATATTTCAAAAACGATTTGTAATAAAGTTGATGCGAGTACACTGAAATAAAAACTCCTGAAATAACTATTTATATAGACGCGTTTAAAAAATAATAGTGATAATATAATGAAAAGGACAATAACAATCTCTAAAACAGAAAATGTGCATTTTATAATTAAAGTTGACATAAAAAATATTATAAAAACTATCATAATAAGCCATCACTGACCCTGGTATTTTCTTACATGCTACTGGTTTGTCTTATTGTAGACAACTAACCTTATTCAGTTACCCTTATATTGTTATTTATTTATTTATTTATTTTATTCTTTTTTAAAAATAATTTTATCATTTTTTATTGTTCTCTTTTAATCTTAATTTTTTATATATATATATATATATAAATTATTTATTATTATTGATAATTATTTATTATTATTGATTAAATATTTATTATTATTTATTAATTATTATTTAATAATATTATTTATTGTTATTATAATTATTATATGTGTATATTTATATATATATATAT